TTCCACGTTCGTGGTACATTAGACCCATTTGGGTGTTTCAGTTTGTAGGTGCCGGGCTTGACTACGGCACTGATGATGTAGGGGGCCTCGTACTTGAGTGCCAATTTGCCACCTTCTGTCGGCTTGCTCGCCTCTCTTCGGTGAAGGACATAGTCCCCCACCTAAAATTCCCGGGAACGTACCTTGGCGTCGTAATATGATTTTACTTGACACTGGTAGTTCTCTGCCCGGATGAAGGCCTGTTCTCGTCTTTCTTCGATTAGGTGGAGATCGATCTTCATGTTTTCTACATTGGCCTGAGGCTCATAGTGCTCCACCCGTCGGCTAGAGAGAAGTGAGAGCTAGAGAGAGAAGTAGTATAATTGCTCTGTATTAATGAATTTCAGAACCCCTACAACTACTCCCAGAGGGAGTATTTATAGGAAAAAATAAGACTGGGCTCCCAAGTCTTGGGCTTGGGAGGCCCATTTACAATAGGGCCACTAATGGGCCGGATACAAAGTACATAGAAAAGATTAAGCATAAAGCTCTATTCTGGGGGCCATCTGTGGCCGATGAGGGCACGACCGACGAAGGCGTGGCCGACAAAGACCCGGCCGACGAGGTCACCCGGCTCTTCCTGGCTTCTGGATCACTTTCTGAGTAGATTTCTTACTGACCGATGAGGGTCATCTGGCCGACGAGGATCCCACCAGGTGGTCGTGGTACCTTTCGTTCTCCTGAGTATGTGAGCCCTAGGATCCTAGCCCATATACTCCATCACCAATTTTAGCTAAAAACTTTTTACAAAAATCTGAAGATTCAAATACTAGATACGGAGTATTTTGTAGCTAAGTTCTTCTTAAGCAAACTTGAGTGTTGAAATTAAGATTTAAGATCTTATGATTATTATATACCTTTTTCAGTTATTTTTCAAGAAAAGGCACGTAGCAACAAAAAAAATTGTAATTTTTTATTGCATTGAAATGTTTAACTTTTTACATCGGAAGTTTAATTTTATTTTTTTAATTGAAATGTTTTACATTTTTATTTAAAAAGGTAAACATTTACAAGCAATAAAAACTTGGAGTTTATTTTTTATTGCTTCAAGTCTTTTGTTGAAAAATAACTAAAAGATAGCCTAAAATAATGATCAGATCTTAACTTTAACACTCAGATTTGCTTATGAGAAAAGTTTGAGCTTAAATGTTTTCATCAATCAGGAACGAAAGTTGGAGACTCAAAAATGATCAAATACCGTCCTAGTCTCAACCATAAACGATTCCGACCAGGGATCGACGGATGTTGCTTTTAGGACTATAAGCAAGAATTTAACTGAAAACTATGTTCGGTGGAATATATTAATAGTGTTAGTAAGGAAAAATGAATTGACTCGGTGAATACAGAATTACCGTTTACACTAATTGACAATTAGGTTTATTGGCAATGCATATGTTTAATTAGCCTTTTCATGTCATAGTCTTAAGATTTTTTTAAAACTTTGTATATTCAATATTGGTGTCATATGAAAGATGACAAAAAGTTACAAAATAAATTTACACTTTATTTATACTTAATATAGTAATTCCAACACTTTTACTTTTGAAGAGGTGAATTGGACAACTTGGTCAAATTCAATGACTTATTTGACATTTTGACCACATATCTTTCAGTTTAGATACAAAATTTACACCAAGTGTCATACAAACTTTGCATGTAGAAAACGAAATTTTAATGTGAATTGATGGTTTTTTAGTTCAAATGCCAAATTGAACATTCAAGCCGGGCCAATGGGGCCATTGGCCATATTTACTGTCTTTTGAAGCTCTTTTGTATTGCTGGACATGGTCTTGGTTTGGCCGTTCCGATCCATCCATTTTTAGGCGATCGTTTTGGCCTGAAATTGGATTAGGGTCTGTAAAGCCCGATACATCCTGTCCAAATCCAACCCTGTGGGGTTATCACTATGCATCACTTTGGCAGGTGCCATTGAATATGCGGCCCTAATGGCCCAAGAAGGCTAAGAAGTGTAGGTTTGAAGAATAAATCTTCCTTGTATTATTGAGCCATCCGGCAATGATATATATACAAGTTTACAGATAAACTAGAGTTTGTTACAGATCCTAAATATTAGGATCTTATCTATTCTTATCTATACTGCGAGCTAATCTAAGAATTAGAGTCCTAAATCAATTATAATTCCTATCTATACAGTTCCGGATGTACACATAATAAAATAACATGTATAAGCTACATTTTTCTACACTCCCCCTCAAGTTGGTAAGTATATATCATACATTCCCAACTTGCTTATAAGAAATTCAAACACTGGTTTAAACAGCCCCTTTGTGAAGATATCAGATGTTTGTTCTTTAGTAGATATGAATGGTGTGCACACAATTCCAGCTTCAATCTTCTCTTTGATAAAATGCCTGTCCACCTCAATGTGTTTAGTACGATCATGTAGCACAGGATTGTGAGCAATATTAATGGCTGCTTTATTGTCACAATATAACTTCATAGGTAGGTCCATTTCCATATTCAACTCTGTCATCATTCTCTTGATCCAAAGTAGTTCACAGATTCCATTAGCCATAGATCTAAATTCAGGTTCTGCACTACTTCTGGCAACAACATTCTGCTTCTTACTCCTCCAAGTCACCAGATTCCCCCATACATAAGTACAATATCCAGATGTAGACCTTCTATCAGTTATTGAACCAGCATAATCTGCATCTGTAAAGGCTTCTACACTTCTATTGTCACTTCTTTTAAAAAATAATCCTTTCCCTGGACAGCTTTTCAAATATCTTAGGATCCTGTAGGTAGCATCTAGATGTTCCTGGAATGGATTATGCATGAACTGACTAACCATACTGACTGCAAAGGCAATATATGGCCTTGTATGTGCCAGATAAATCAACCTTCCCACCAATCTTTGATATTGGTGAATATTAACTGGTAATCCTTCCTTGACATTTCCTAACTTTTGATTAGGGTCAATTGGAGTATCTATTGGTCTACAGGCACTCATACCTATTTCATGAAGTAGGTCTAGTACATACTTCCTTTGGGATACCACAATTCCCTTCTTTGATCTGGCTATCTCCATGCCAAGAAAATACTTCAATTCTCCCAGGTCTTTGATTTCAAATTCCTGAGCAAGCTTCTTCTTCAGGTCTTCAATCTCTTCACAATAGTTTCCTGTAAGAATTATATCATCCACATAAACAATTAGTAATGCAATTTCTCCCTTAATGGAGAATTTCATGAATAGTGTATGGTCTGCTTGGACTTGCTTGAATCCCTGCTTCTTTATGAATTGAGTAAACCTTTCAAACCAAGCCCTTGGGGACTGTTTAAGTCCATATAAGGCTTTCTCCAGCTTGCACACCTTTGAGCCATATTGTTCCTCAAACCCAGGAGGGGGGCTCATATATACTTCCTCTTCAAGCTTCCCATTTAGGAAAGCATTCTTCACATCTAACTGTTGAAGAGGCCAGTCTAGGTTAGTAGCTAGAGATAGTAGGATCCTTATAGTATTTAATTTTGCAACTGGTGCAAAAGTTTCTGTATAATCTATGCCATAGGTTTGTGTGTATCCTTTGGTAACCAATCTGGTCTTATATCTTTCAAGTGTACCATCTGCCTTGAATTTAGGGGTAAACACCCATTTGCATCCAACCCTTGGTTTGTTTTTGGGTACCTCTACAGTCTGCCATGTCTGATTCTTTTCAAGGGCATTCATTTCTTCTAAAACAGCCTTCTTCCACTCAGGTATAGATAGGGCTTCCTGTATGGTTAAGGGAATAGAAACAGTAGAAAGGCTAGAGGTAAAGGCTGCAAATGATGTAGATAACTGAGAATAGGACATATAGTTTGAGATAGGGTATTTAACACATGACCTTTTTTCTTTTCAGAGAGCAATGGGTAGATTTAGATCACTGAAATTATTACCTTTGTCATTTTCTGGCATTGAGTCAGATTCATGGACAGTGGCAGGATCAGGGATGTCCTCTATTCTGTGATTTGGAACTCTCCTTTCATAAACCTTGCCAAAAAATTTACTTGTCTGCTGTTCATCATCTTTCCTTGTTTCAAAAAAAGAAATCATTTTCTTTTGACTCTTGACTATTTTCTAGTGCATCTAACTGTCTATTATACTGTGCATCTAGATTAATGTCAAGAGGTTCTAGTTTTTCATGGATATGTGACACATTGTTACCATCTTCATTAGGAATCTCCCCCTGAAGATGAGTACCAAAAAAAGATTGATCTTCTACAAAATTAGTGTTCATAGTTATAAACATCTTTTTTGTTATAGGATCAAAACATTTATAGCCTTTCTGAGTTGAAGAGAGTCCTAAGAAAACACATTTTTTCCCTCTAGGGTCAAATTTACTTGCAGTCCTGTCAGGATTGGTAATAAAAACTGTGCACCCAAAAATTTTTATGGGAAGAGAATTAATTAGTCTAGTTTCAGGAAAACATGCTTGAAGAGTATCAATAGGAGTTTTGAATCCTAGAGTTTTTTATGGCATCCTATTAATTAGATAGGTAGCATGTAAAACAGCTTCTCCCCATAAATATTTTGGAATTTTAGCAGAAAACATAATTGCACGAGTGACTTCAAGTAAATGTCTATTTTTCCTCTCAGCTATTCCATTCTGAGCAGGTGTATTTACACAGGAACTTTGATGAATAATCCCTTTTTCAGCAAAAAAACTATTTAACTTCTTAGAAAAATACTCAAGACCATTATCACTTCTCACAATTTTGATATTAGTGTTGAATTGAGTTTGGATCATTGAATAAAATTTTTTGAACACTTCTTCAATCTCAGATTTTTCTTTAAGTAAAAACACCCATGTGACCCGTGTGTGATCATCTATGATGGTTACAAACCACCTTTTTCCTTTCAGAGTTGAAACTCTAGATGCACCCCAGATATCACTGTGTACAATAGTAAAAGGACTAGTTGGTTTGTAACTATGAGGGATGTAAGAACTCCTATGATGTTTGGCAAGTGCACACATATCACAATGAAATGATGAAGGATTTTTATTAAGAAATAACTTAGGAAACAACATTTTCAGATAAGAAAAACTTGGGTGACCTAATCTATAGTGCATTAAATACACTTCATTATTACAAGGAAAGAAAACAGTTTGCAAACAGGTTTTTTCTTGACCTTGTTTATTCAATTGTGTTCCTTCATCAAAAGTATAGAGGCCATCTTCCTCTCTAGCACTGCCAATCATCTTCCCTGATGCCAGATCCTGAAAAATGCAATAAGAGGGAAAAAATATTACACAACACTGAAGATCTTTAGTAATTTTGCTAATAGAGATAAGATTGCAGGAAAGTTTTGGAACATGTAAGACTTTGGAAAGGTTAATGGATGAGGAAATTTTAATATTTCCCATCCCTGCTATGGCTGAAAAAGAGCCATCTGCAACTCTAACTTTCTTATCTCCTGCACAAGGTTGATAAGAAGAAAAAAACTATGGAATGTAGGTCATGTGGTCTGTTGCACCTGAGTCAATGACCCAGGTGTTTTTAGGTTTTTCAGAACAAAAATATGATGTTATTTTACCATTTTGGGCAAAAGAACGGGTAGGGTTTTCTTGGTTGGAGATTTTCTGGGTGGGTATGAATTTGAGTAGGTACTCTATATGTTCCTGAGTGAAAGGTAGCTGTTTAGATTCAACTCCTGCCTCTTGTTGAGTCTCAATCACAGTAGTTTGTAGGGCCCTTTCTACTTTCTTCTTCCCAGCTCCTGGTGGTTTTCCATGGAGTTTCCAACATGTATCCCTTGTGTGCCACAGTTTCTTGCAGTGATCACACCAAGGTTTTTTCTTGTTGTCATCACTTCTGGCCACCAAAGCTGAAGATTCCCCAGGTTCCTCATTAGGTACTGGAGTGTTGTACATGACCCTCCTCCTGCTATCTTCCAACCTGATCTCAGAGAATACCTCTCTGATTGAGGCCAAGGGTTTCTTTCCCAGTATTCTGCCTTTTACTTCATCTAGGTCTCTATTCATTCCTGCTAGGAACATATAGACTCTGTCATTTTTCTCTCTCTTCTTGTGTCTTGCCAGATCCTTGGCACTTTCCCAGTCTTCAGCATCATAGCATTGATCCAATTCTTGCCATAGAGATACCATCTCATTATAGTATGAGATGACATCTCTATTTCCTTGTTTGGACTGCCACAACCTAGTTTTTAATTCATAGATCTGAGAAGAATTCTCAAGATCTGAGTAAGTTTCTTTGATTGAATCCCATACCTCTTTTGCAGTTCTCATGAACATGTGAGGTTTGGCAATTGATGCATCCATTGAATTGAGAAGCCAGGCTGTTACCAAAGAGTTCTCTGACCTCCAGACATTGTAGCCATCTTCACCATTCTTCTTCTCCTCTACTTCACCTGTTATGTATCCCAGTTTTCCTCTTCCATCTATTGCCAGTTTGACAGATTGTGACCACTCTAGGTAGTTGGTTCCATTCAATCTATGTCCAGTAATGAGCATAAATGAATTAACCGAGGCCTGATAATTTGTCATTTGGCTAATTTGGGGGTTAGGATGATGGGTTTGTGAGTGGGTGGAGGATTCAGAGTGTTCAGTGTCCACCATTATGGTGTTTTAAACAACAAAGCTCTGATACCATGTAGGTTTGAAGAATAAATCTTCCTTGTATTATTGAGCCATCCGGCAATGATATATATACAAGTTTACAGATAAACTAGAGTTTGTTACAGATCCTAAATATTAGGATCTTATCTATTCTTATCTATACTGCGAGCTAATCTAAGAATTAGAGTCCTAAATCAATTCTAATTCCTATCTATACAGTTCCGGATGTACACATAATAAAATAACATGTATAAGCTACATTTTTCTACAAGAAGCAAGCAACATTAACCATCAATTTGCAGCCACATTTCAGTATTTCACTATCATTCATCAAAATCAATAATCTCATTGACATATATATATGAACTTACCATCATTACTTTGCAAATGCCAAACCAACTTGAGATTTGAGAAGATAAAACTGCTACTAAACTAGGGGTAGTCCTACTAACCTACTTCAACGTAAAAGATGACTGTGTTCTTGACTTCTTTCGAAGAGGTGCCAAAACGGAGCTCAGGCAAAGGTCAGGTTACCTTGGGGGAGAAGTGGAAACGTCAAAACCAGGAGGGATGAAAACAACATCATTCCATGTTGATATTGAGCTGTCCTGTAAAAAGTTCATTTATATGAATATAGAGAATCAGCTACCACCACGAACACTTCTAAAGAAGTGATGAAGTATATGTTTGATAGACAACCACAAAGAGAAAGATATCATAATACAGAAAGATCCAAAGATTATATCTCAAACTTGGCCTCATCTCGAAAGAAAGTGTAAATTGATAACAACATTATAAAAGAGTTTGATCCCTAACCTTCATCCCTTGTATTATATCCTCAAGAGCAGCAACCTAGCACATCCACAACAAAATTGTACCCGTGATTTCTCTGATCTAAATTATTGGGGCTTAACTTCAGTTGACAATAAATACATAGTAGAACCTGAATATCTCCCTTCAATGCAGGATTGAATACATTCTGCTCTTTGGAAGCTCTAGAAAGAAACTTCTCAAGATCCTCCTACACAAATCACAAATCACAAAAAAGTAAAAATCGCATTGTATAAGCAAAATACTTAACAAAGTCAACTAACCTTTCTAAAGAAAAGTGGACGATATCTTGTGTTTTCTCCCCTCAAGACTAAGCTTTCTGACTGCAATCAGTAATATAATGGCAATTAGAAACACATTAATAGACATCTGAGCTGAGAACATAACATGCAACATTTGTAAAATTAAGCCAGAAGCTCTGCCATATTGGTTGGAGGTTCATAAGGTGAATAGTTGATGTATCAACATCGCCCAGCTTCATAACGCTATAACCTCGTGAATCTTGTTCCAACGGTGGCAGCTGCGGAATCTGCTATTGGGTTAGCTATTTTCGTTATTACTTTCCGAGTCCGAGGGACTATTGCTGTAGAATCTATCAATAGCATTCAAGGTTAAATATGACTCCTAGAGAGTGACCAAAATAAGTTCTCTTCTTTCTCTTCTTTCTTTTTGATTTTGAGGGTCAGCCGATTCTAAAGTGCTTTCTTCAACCACTTCCCGTTCAGTTGCTGAAAACTCTGTTACTAAAATATAAATTCATCAAACAACGGTTTCCTACAGAACCATCTTGACATATTTTAGCAAGCAGTTCATTTAACAGCATCCTTGAGCATCTAAAGTTTCAATTCACTGCCATTGGATAACATTTTTAGTGTTCCAAGTCTTTCAACTCATTGATTCAGGTTAGTGTCACCTTGAGGTGTTTCAAGTTTCGGTGGTTCTCCGGAGGCCATACTTTTAGGCTTTTAGCATAGTGTTGTGATATGTTACCAAGCACAATGTAATGGTCAGCTCTTATAAAATCAGTAGAAGATGAACAACCAAGTGCGAGCTACCTGGGCACCAGGGATCTAAAAGTGAGAGCATTAATGCCTTTAGGATACCCAATCCGGCTAGAGGAGTCAGCACACCAATTATCCAAATAACATTACATGCTTATCCTCAACACAGTAAAATTGAAAAATAAAAAAGGGGAAAAAAACTACAAGTTTGGTTTGTGACTCAAGAACCCCACACATTGAAAACACATATAAACCAAATTTACATATCAGGGGAAAGAGTTCAAATCAAGTTGGTTAAAAATGTTCGCTTTAGATATTAAGGATACTCATTAATAGAACAGTGCAAAATGGAATTGTTAGCCTGCTAGTTCCTATACATGTTTATGGTCTTTGACACAACACCTTTACTGCTAATAGAGCCTTTCAGCAGGAAGATTGTTTAGCAATTCTCTTTTAATTATGTGAAATCAATTTTTAATAGATAAGTCTGCTGCAGTCTCTCTTTCCAGAAGGGTCAAAGATAGTTGCATCGCATTTGCAAATACAAAAACGGCTACGGAGGATAGCTCATAACTCGTAAGAAGAAGAAGCCCATAGTGGGATGATTGCTTACTGTCCATGGTCTCCCCCTGAGAATCCAATGGAATCATCTATTTTGTTATAAAATATTTCAGTGAATTCCTCTCCTAAAGGGACTCTGTGATAAAGAATCCTAAAGAAAGCTCGGTCAAGAAAGAAAGTCTGTATCAGTGTGCCTGCTTAATATGGTCAATCCATCTTGAAAATTGCATTGAAAAGTTCTACATGAAAATGATAGCATTTAAAAAAACTTCTGTAAGAGCGGACTAGGCAGATGAACTATATTGATAGGAATTCCTAAACAGAATGCTAAAACTCATCTAAAATATACATTATAGTTGTCCGTCTCAAGTTCGCTTTCATATATCATGTAGTTGACCCCATACTCTTGTGGACTAAGGCTTGGATGTTGTTGCTGCATATTCATATGAAGTGAATAGACGTATTAATATTTTGAAGTGTATTAATATTTTTCATTCATTTCACCTCACGTGCAATAGACGTGTGGCTCAAGTATGATTCACATCTCAGAGAGCTGGAGCACCGGTGGGCATTGGGGCGCCTCAAGTTCTTGATAACTATTCTATATCATACGTAGTATAACCTACTACGGTAACCTGCTGTCTAAGGAAACCATGCAAAAAAGAGTAAAATAAGGCCCTACATCAATGCAAGAGAAATCAAATTTGGGTCAAATTTCAATACATCTAATTCCAGACTGAATATAGAATACAGTATATCCAAACTCCAAAGTCATAGCATGTTTGAACAAAAATCAACTGCATAGAAACTAAACTAAAGATTTCACTCAACATTGGAGAAATATACCAGGAAACAGATAATTAGTAGCACAAAGAAGTCATTCATTTCAGCTCATCAATATTAATGCCAAGAGAAGGATTAGGAAACATGCCTGGAAAACTGGAACCCCAGTAAACGTATTATCAGATATACCACTTCTTTGACGCTCCTATTAACAAACAGATCATTATTGCATGCCAAGCATCTATTCGAGTTAGTAAGACAATAATTTGGAAAGACACTGACTTTTCATCACAAAGAACCACTATCTGACAAGTATATTACCACTACAATTTTAGAAGTTGAACTATGATAATGCAGTTGTCTGTTTCACTTCATGCCAACTTCAGAGGAATGCTAACATTAGAAACAATTGAGTGAATCAACTTAGTCTCAGATATTATATCATGATTAGATAGGATAGTCAACATTGTGCAGTTATTCCTTTCTACATTTAAAGGTGTAAAAACCGGATCAATAATAATGTACAGTTTAAAACAGAGTAGGGTTCTATCAAACATTGGCACCAAGTAATTACAAAGCAGAAGACCAGAGGAGGTGAGTGTGGTTTATTAACAAAGTCAATGGTTATAAACCATATTTCTTCAGTGATTAGTACCATCTTAATTTTGCTGTTTAGAAATAATTTGATGTAACTATATTTTATATCAAGGTAGTCCATACAAGAGACATCTGGGGTAAAGCACATTGCAGTTAGTTTTACCTTAATTGCATTCGTTACTTGGGATGCCTCAGGAATCAACCTAAAAGCCATCCCATCGACTTTAAGCTGGATCACCTGCATTACCATCAATATGCTGTACTTCATATTGTTTCTTATCATACAATTTATGAATAGAACTGCAAGCCTACATTTCAAAGATACACGCAACTACAAGTCTACAATTTTACAAACTAAATCATTATCTATTTAAATAATCACTATATTATACATCAAATATGAATATTATTATAGCCCAGTTTGTAACTGGGAACTAGCACTGCGAAGATATAAGTGAACCTAACCAAAGAAAAAGGAATCAACTTTCGAAATTAGGTACCTCTTTGAGTGCCACAGGTACCACTTGATAACTATTTTGCAAAGAAGGATCCATGCACTCCATTTGGTGAAGGAGAGCTGTGGCATCCGCTTCACCAAAGCAAAACAAACCGAGACTTGCTTTGCTATTCCCCGCAGAAACCAAAACGAATTTTTGACTGCGATTGCTGAGGGCGTAGACTAGAACTCCGGTAAATCGCTCCTCAAATGCTATCGTAGGCATAGCACCGTCTCCCTCACTACTCCGACCACCACCGCCCATTCTAGCGGGAGAACCAGAGGTGCCTCCGATGAGACTGCTACCGGAGTTGGAAAGACGAGCCCATGCGGGGGATTTGTTAGGAGGAGGAGAAGGAGGGTGAGGAAGGGCATTTTGGAGGAAATTACAGACGTTGGTCTGAAGAGAGGTGAAGGCTTGGTGGAGGCGGAGGTGAAAGGGTGGCGTCGAAGGTGAATTGGTGAGCGGCGGAGACGGTGACGGCGGGGATTTGGGCTTCAAGAAATCCATGCTGCCTGAACGTTTTGGTAGTGATGTGGTCCCTCATGTAAACAACCATTTACACACCCTTCTTCTACGCACCTTATACACATTTGTGAAACTTTTTTTTGTCTTTTAATCCGATTCACAGATAATATTTTCTTTGTGCAAAACATTGTCTGTGAATCGATGTTCACAGACAAAAAAAAGCTTTCACAGACATAGGTGTGTACAAAAATGTGTATAAGAGTGTATACAAACATCATTTTTGTCATGGAAATGTTTAAGTGCACGGATTTTGTACAATGATTAACGTTTTGGTTTCATTGTCCCAAAGACATCGTGCCTAGACGCGGTAGAGTTCGGGAGGTTTGGATGGGATTCTTAAAAAAAATTGCTTATTCACAAACCACAAGTCAGAGTGTTTAGATGAAAGTACACAAGTATTTACGGTGCCCTAATTTACTCTTAGACTCAATTTTGTTAGAAATTAGGGGGAATCAGCTTCTGAAAACTGGATTCTGATTCAGTTTCTACTTTAAAAAAACAAGAATAAGCAGAATCAGTTACAAACACTCCTTATCTCCGATGCAAAAAAGTGAACTTCGTATACATGGCATGAGAGATACCAATTAAAAAACAACATATATAATATCTAGAGAAAAGTGTCAAATAGATCCATGTACCATAATGAAAAGGTCAATTAGGTCCCTGTACAATTAATTTGGTCAATTGAATCCCCTAACTATTAAAAATGGGTCAATTTGGCTATTCAACCGGTGAGTAACCGGTTGTGCCCGTTAGATGCTTATGTGGCCCCATATGTGGCCTGAAGGCTATCTCCTTCCGAATTTAGGGTTTCACCTTCTCGTTTTCCTCTGAAGACTATCTTCTTCCTAAGCCCATTTCGCTCTATTGTTTCTTTATTTGAGAATTTTAAATCGCGCTGCTAGAATGCAGGTATAGAATGTAGACATTCCTCGGCGTAGCTTCTTAGGTTTCTGAATTGATCTTTATAAGCAATCCGTGTTTAGTTATGAATAATCCTCGAGGCTCTAGTCACCATGCTTAGAGACACATTGATCTTCAGCTCTGCTTTGATAACATTTTTAAGTTCAACGGCAGTGATGGAAGGGTTCTCTTCCGCCTTTTCCTCAAATTTCTCGGCTATCCATTTTTGGATGACTACTCTAAGCTTAAACTTAGAATTGCACCCGTGTTCTTCGTTCAACATCTTCACTTGAAAACACTTTAATGTATTCTCCCAGCTGGCAGTACAACGATAAGAGCAAGACGGCGCACATTTCACTCTAACTCTCATGGCATCATTTTTTACAAAGTACACGTCTTTTTTCTCAGAAAGAGCATATGCGATAATAACATTCTTGAATTGTCTAACATCTTCAAAAAGCATTTCCAACTTAATCAAATGAGGTTCAGATTCGGGATTATATGAACAATAGTTGATGTTTCTCCTTTTGGATTGACCGTCATCTGACTCATGCTCTGAAGTATAGCTAGGTGGGTTGGAAGAGTCATACTCCACACTATGAACTTCTTCACCCTCATTTTCTTCATTCCATTCACTGCCCAATGCACCCTCACTTTGATCATGATCTGTATTATCAAACTCTCTTGAGGTATCATGATTGTCAAACTACCCTGAATTATCTTCAAATCCCTCCACAATCTCTTTTGGTACCTCACTGCCCTACACATCATTTGACTCACTGTAATTTGAGCCTAACTGCACATCAATAAGGCCCTCATCGATCATCTCCGTCAATGTTTGCACCATTAGGACTCTTGGACATATTTGTTTCCTCCTCAAGTGGTACAATTGATTTCGGCAAAGAGAGAAAATCAAGTAATTCATATTCATCCAAATCATGCTCAACAAATAAATCACATTTTTCAGTGCTTGTAGCCAAATCTATCAACTCTAACGTGGATTCGTCATTGAAGATCTCATGTAATCTATCCATAGGTTCTTGTTTAAAATACAACCTTTTTATGTTTCCATAACTTCCAGATTTTAGGAACTTCATCAAATGTGGGTAACATATGTAATATGGATCTATTTCAACACTTTCAACTTCACCGCCTACATACATATTCTGAGTACACACAAAATTCCCTCCATGATGAATAATTAATTGTATGGTCTCAACCATCCTGTTGATTATATTGTGATTAAAAGTGTTAACAGGGGACACATTATCTAACTTTAAGTAAACAATCGCAAGGTTAACTACACACATAAAATTTTGAGGATAAATTACTTGGTATGCGATTGATGGACTGCTTCTAGTAATTTTACGCCTTCCTCTAAAGCTGAAGTATGAACGATGCTTCTTCACTGGCTAAGCAATTGTTGGCAGGTTCCATAGCCGCTTTTGTTGATTCTCTTCCATCTAGCCTTGAACCCCAAACCTCTGCAATTTTCGTAGATAGGGTTAGGAGGAGTAGAGATGGAAGAAGATGGTCTCCAACAAGAACGGGAGGGAGAAATTCCAACTTACAAATGGAAGGAGACAGTCTTACCAAGGAGCACGAACGATCTTCTTCACTGGCTGCACGATTTTGAATTCCCAAAAAAAAACTTAGAGCTTCATAGGGTTGGGAAGATTTTTCATAAGGAAGGAGAATACGATGAAGATGAAACCCTATTTGACACTTTTCTCTGATATCTATCTCTTTATTTGAACGATCTTACATATTTTTAATAAGTTTTTCTCCACAATGTCAAGCACAATGTCTAGATGTAGACATTGTGCTTGACATTGTGAAGGAAAATTTACCAAAAACACATAAAACCGTGAAAAAAGGAAAGACAAATGTCATAAATTTAATGTTTTGTGTGTATTTCTCTCATGTCATATGTGCACGGCGCACATTGAGCATTGAAGATGCTCTAAAGAGTTTCTGCATCTCTTGGGACTACTTTGGGAGTAATGTATATGTCACTAGTAGAAAAATAGTCTACAGTGACACTAAATTAAGAAATTGAGAAAAAAAATGAAAAAGTATGATTGTGCTTGAGTAAGAAAAAGATAAATAAATAAAGAGTTTTGCTAGAGGTACACCGAAATGTACCTCAATTTTACCCCTCCCCCTAATTTATGGCCATAAATGGGGCGATTCATTTAAGTGGTGCCCCATTTAAATGAATTGCTTCATTTATAGCCACACATTAGTGGGTGGGGGTAAAAATGAGGTACATTTTGGGGTACCTTTAGCATATGTGATAAATAAAAGTTACACAAATCTTTTCAAAAAGAGAAATGATAGAATTTTTTTGGAACATTCCAAAATAGTAAATGAGAAAAAAATTATGAGAAGGAGTATTATTTATTTTTAACTTTCCTTAGATTTAAAATTTTCATTTGTTAGTCCTTTGACTATTTCAAAAGGCACATGCTTGGTGTTCGGTTCTATTCTTTTTTCAATTTTAATCCTTTGAATATTGTAAAAATGAGGGATAAGGGTCAGATAGGGTCTCAAACTTGAAAAAAATGTCAAATAAGGCCAAATTTAGGATGCTCTGTTCGGCCGACGCCATTTGGGGCGGTTCCCGATGGATTTTTTTGATGAAATTTTGTGAGAATCTTATTCGATAAGTCTAGTTTACTCATATCAAATTTGAACTAAAACTTCAATCGGGAAGGCATAAAAATGAATTCTTGAAGATAACTGGGCAGTTAAAAGAGCAGTTATCTTCAAGAATTCATTTAAATGCCTTCTCGATTGAAGTTTTAGTTCACATTTGATATGAGTAAGCTAGACTTAATGAATAAGATTCTCAAAGAAGTTCATCAAAAAGTTCCACCGGGAACCGCCCCAAATGGCGTCGGCCGGACAGAGCATTCTAAATATGGCCTTATTTGACATCTTTTTCCAAGTTCGAGCCCCTATCTGACCCTCCCTAAAAATGATGATTTTGATGTAACACAAACTCTTGTTTAGGAAAAGTGGTACAGTTCTCCATTACTCATCCAGGTCGCAAACACACTATTGTGTACATACTATTGGTGGTTTTATTGTTCTTGAATAAATAAGACTCACATGGCACACGTTGTTGGAGCTGATTCTTCTGTTATGGTCTGTTTAAGAGTTAGGTTTTGGAGGAAAGAGGAAGATTGATGGGCTTTATGACCCCATTTTCATGTTTGGGGTATAAAAAATGGGAGGAGTGGTTTTCGAGCGCTTTTGTAACCCTCCAAAGTCTTCTAAATGCTCAATTTTCAAGTTTTTTTTAACTTTGATGGTTTTGAAGGACATATAACGAAATAATAATGTAAGCCTAATTTAAAATGAATATGAATTCATTTAGTTAAATTTGTTATGTTTCAAAGCGATTGTAATTAAAATTCCTTCAAAGTCTCTTCTTCCAAGTTTATTACTCCAAGTTTATTACTCACATTCCCTTCCCTTTCTCCTCCAACGACATACATTCAAAGCCTTATCCCTCTTTCTCTCCAAACTCTCAAACATACCCTTAAGGCATGTTTAGGAGTTTGAAGGGAAGGGGAGAGGAAGGTTTTACAGGTTAGTCATCAGAAGGGAAGGGGAGGGAAAGGATTGGAAACCCTTCTTTTTGTTTGGGAGTAACAAGTTTGAAATGATAGGGGTCTTGAATGAATTATAATTGAAATCACTTAACATATATGACGAATTCAAATAGTTGAATTTATATTTATCTAAAATTGAGTTAAAGTTGTCATTTAATTAGTTGTGCTTCAAAATCCCCCAATTTGGGGATCTTGAAAATTGAGCATTAGAATGATTTTGGAGGGTTACAAAAGTCATCCAAAATCATCCTCTACATTTGTTTCAACTCCCAAACATGAAAGAGAGTGTCATAAACCCTTCTCAACCATTCACTTCCCTCCAAAACCCAACTCCCAAACATACCCTTATAGAACGTGAATGCGTGATGCACTTGTATTTTTTTTTTTGTTTTAATGGATCATATGAGTTCCTTTTATATTAATTATGTCTTTAGTCAGTTCTCCTAAAAAAAGTTAGACCTTCTAAGCTATATACTTGGAACTCAAGTAATGGCAGGAAACTGATAATTTTTTAAA